ATTACAACATGGATGAACCTTAAAAATATTATGTTAAGTGAAAGAAACCAGTCACAAGAGACTATATTTCACATGTCCAGGACAGAGAAAACTATACATACAGAAGACAGGTTAGTGTTTGCTTAAGGACAGGGAGATAACGGCATAGGAGAGTCATAACAAAGGGGTGCAGTGTTTCTTTTTGACTTGACAAAAAGGTACTAAAATTGATTGTGGTAATGGTTGCACATATGTGTGAATATACTAAAAACCATTGAATTGTGTAATTTAGGTCGGTGATTTGTTTGGTATGCAAATTATTCTCAATAAAGCTGTTATTAAAAGGAAGTATTATCTATTCTGGGATGGATGAGTAGGAGTTATCCAGGCTAAGTGTGTGAGGGGCAATTGAGGCAGTGTTTCAGGCAGGGATAAATGTGAAACCAGGACTGGGACTTGAAAGGGCATGGAGCCTTGAGGAACTGATAGGAATTCACTCACCACAATGGTATTGTTACTATTTATTAAATACCAATCATTCCAGAGCGCTGTTTAGGAACAAGGACATTGACCTTAGGCAAGTATTCCATTTAATAGCTGGGCAACTTCCGCCAGGCCTCACTTTCCTTTTCTATAAAATAATAGGTTAATGATATAACATCTAGAAAAGGACTCAGAGTTCATGGAAGGGAAGAAAGACTCTGTGTAAATCCAAGAATTATTTTGGCAATTATAATGCACGGATAATAGAATTACCAATTGGGAATTAAAAAATTATTATTATTATTTCTTAACCAGATGGCAGGAGGCCTGATGGGAGATACCAAAATGCCACTTAAAAAGAAATGATCCTTCTCTTTAGCAAACCGAAGGGCTTCATCTTGACATATGTGAATATTTGTGGATATGGGTATGTATGTGTATGTGTGTATATATTATACTGTGCCTTCTGTTCTTCATTATTCTTTTAACAATACATGGTGAACATGTAGTACATCTGGACCTACTTCATTCCTTTAAATAGTTCCTTTACCTACATTACACTGTGGACAAAAGATTTGAATAGACATTTCTCAAAGTGTGAAATACAAATCACCAATAAGCACATGAAAAGATGCTCCATGCCCAACTAAATTATTAAAGTGATGCAGCCGTTTGTGCTAAGGGTCTTGCAAAAGGCTGGTGTCAGAATATCAAATAATTGCTTTTGGATGCTGTTATGTGTGTTAGCCTCCTTCTTACCCTACCTTGAACTTTCTTTGCAGAGAGAACAAACCAGCTTTTCTGTTAACTTTTGCTTTTTACAGAGACTGAGGTGATTATGTGTGGATGGGATCTGGGGCTGGTTTTCAAACACACACTCTCCTGTCAGTTTCCTAGTAAAAAGTTTTATATGACATTACTCTTGTCATTAGCGTCCTGAAGAATCCATTGACTTTGCATTCTTACCTCTTTTATTTTGTGGTATCAGGATAGCTGTGTCTTACTGTAATTTTGAAGTTCCTCAAAGACTGTTTATCTTTAGTTTCTCACTTGATGCTGTTTTCATCCAATTAATCTTTTTTTTTTTTTTTTTTTTTTTTTGAGACGGAGTCTTGCTCTGTCACCCAGGCTGGAGTGCAGTGGCCGGATCTCGGCTCACTGCAAGCTCCGCCTCCCGGGTTTACGCCGTTCTCCTGCCTCAGCCTCCCGAGTAGCTGGGACTACAGGCGCCCGCCACCTCGCCCGGCTAGTTTTTTTGTATTTTTTAGTAGAGACGGGGTTTCACCGTGTTAGCCGGGATCGTCTCTCGATCTCCTGGCCTCGTGATCCGCCCGTCTCGGCCTCCCAAAGTGCTGGGATTACAGGCTTGAGCGCGCCCGGCCCATCCAATTAATCTTAATATTTATTTAAAATCCCCTGTACTTAGCTAAATACTAGAAATAGTTACAAATACCATGTTTACATTCTACAATATATATTGTGTGCTGTATTTAATTTGGAATCATAAACCAGAGCTTTTGGTGTTAGGAAAGGCTTATTATTCACATTCAGATTTATTGTACAGAGAAAACTGTTATTGGGAGAGGCAATCTGCTATGAGCCCTGAGCATCCCTACATATTATTATTGGGTATGCCAAGAATGTAAGGCCCTGAGTGCTCTTTACCCAGGCAGACCATTTTTCATAGTTGTGTTTGCAACAAGCAACCTTGAGCGATAAGATAACGTCTTTCCCTGAACAAAGAGTAGGCTTGTTTCTGCTGTGAAAGCATTGAATACCCCAAACTCAAGGTTTCCTTCCTATGATGCAATGCGCTGCATGTTGAGGTATCAATCACCGGTCCTATGCCACCCCATGAAACTTGGGAACAATAAGGAACTAATACAAACCAACATGAAGCTCTGGCTACTGCTGCTGCTGTGATAATGTCATTTGATTTCGACCCAGGAGTCTCGAGTCTTCTGCCAGCATCCATTAAATGAGAGTAGGCTCAGTTGTTAGCTTATACGCAGGGTAAAATTTCAAATCCTGCACGGTTCTTGATAGGTGTTTCCAGTTATTATCCCTAAAGTTATTATGCCCATGCTGGGGCAATGTTTCCCACCAGGATGTTTTTTTGCCCTAAGTATGTGCCACCTACACTATTAATACTGTGTTCTAACAATGTTCTTCTTCAAATTTACTCACTTACTTGATTTGAATACTTTTTTGAAAAACAAACTTTATAATGCCACCCTAAATCTAAACTATCATCATTTGCTTTAAACAGAAAGTATTCATTCATACATGTTCAAATAAATACATGGACACCACAATTTAAAAGACTTGTGTACTGTCTAAAATCATTTCCCCCTACCACCAGACTCTGACTTTAACCACAAGTTATCTGATTACATGCAGAGCAGTCATGTCTGGGACAAAGTTTCTATTAGTGAATTTTGAGATCTTATCTTCTTCCTTATAAAAAAGTCCTCATCAAACCTCCTTGTGAAGGAAAGAAAGGGAGAAAGGAAGTCTAGTGCTCTGATCTGCAAAAAGGATAGTTGTTTTTCTCCAGGTATATCTGTTCAGGACAGGCAAGCTATCAGCTGAGGAGGGCCTTGTGCCTAGCAGAGAAGACAAAGTCAGGCCTATCCTAGACAGGAGTGTGGCTTGAGTGAGCCTTTCCACATCCTTCCTAAGTGCAACCCCTCTGAGGGCCAAGGGGATGGATGGATTCTGTTTTGTAAAACTGGCAGTGAGCCTGGAACCTTATCTCACTCCAACATGAACTGCAGCCCTACCAGCAACCATTAGGCTGCCATCACCTTGAAGAATGGTCTGAAGACATGAAGAGTTCCCAAAATGGCATCACAGAGGAAAATGACACATGACAGGCACAATAGTGGGCCTTTTGTAAAGAAAGAAAGATAGGCTGGGCGCGGTGGCTCATGCCTGTAATCCCAGCACTTTGGGAGGCAGAGGTGGGTGGATCACTTGAGGTCAGGAGTTTGAGACCAGCCTGGTCAACATGGTGAAACCCCGTCTCTACTAAAAATACAAAAAACAAAAATTTGCCAGGTGTGGTGGTGCATGTTTGTAATCCCAGCTACTCGGGAGGCGAGACACAAGAATCGTTTGAATCTGGGAGGCGGAGGTTGTGGTAAGCTGAGATCGTGCCACTGCACTCCAGCCTGGGAGACAGAGTAAGACTCCACCTCAAAAAAAAAAAAAAAAAAGAAAGAAAGACGATAGATAGATGATAGATAGATAGATAGATAGACAGACAGACAGACAGATAGAGATATGTAGATATAGACACATAATAAGGCCTATACAGCACTTTCATATATTTCCAGCCAGGGGTGGGGTTATTCCAAAATCTGACTTGAATTTTCCTTCAAAATTTATACAAGTCTAGAGATATCTGTTGAACAGATGAGGAGGGCCCACCACCAGTCTTCTGGGAGAAATCATTTGTCCTAAGGAAATAGGAGTCAGGAAGATAAAATGGTAGTCTTCAGATCCACGGCAGCAATTCTGAGTAAAGCATAATGTCTGTTACTCAGATTTGTCTTCTAGTCCAACTCCCAGATGGACTTATGTCTGAGCCTTATGGGTAGAAAGTTAAAATCCCAAAGTTGCCAAGATATCTATAAGACATCATGACTCATGTGGCACTGCATAAGTGTCTATCTAAATTGAAGAGATGGGCAATCTCCTAACTTCTCTAAAGGTCAGTCTGGAAACTAAGCTTACTGGGGGTGCCAAAGAAATATGCTGGGCTTCACTACTTGAGAATTCTAGCACATTCACAGTGGTAGGGGCCTGAAGGTGCAGGACTCAGCAGAAGGGGCAGGAAACGCAGTATATATGGTAGTATCAAGGGCAAGGGCATGAGAAGCTGGGCAGGCATACCAGGAAATGAACATAAAGGTGGCACCCAGCTCACAGTTCTTTTTTTCTTTTTTTGAGACAGAGTCTTGCTCTGTCACCCAGGCTGGAGTGCAGTGGCGTGATCTTGGCTCACTGCAAGCTCCGCCTCCTGGGTTCACACCATTCTCCTGCCTCAGTCTCCCAAGTAGCTGCGACTACAGGCGCCCGCCACCGTGCCTGGCTCATTTTTTGTATTTTTAGTAGAGATGAGGTTTCACCATGTTAGCCAGGATGGTCTCAATCTCCCGACCTCGTGATCCGCCCACCTCAGCCTCCCAAAGTGTTGGGATTAGAGGTGTGAGCCACCCAGCCTTGGGTTTGTTCTTAATCACAGATAAGAACTACTTTCTCCACCCTTCCAAATCCCTGAAATTAATCTCTTATGGAGTTGGGAATGGGAACAAAACTCTGTCAAACATAGCTCACAGTCATTACCTTATTTGGCCCTCACCAGATCCTTGTGAGATTATTTTCTTTATTTTAAAGATGAGAAAATATGTAAAATTTATTATTCTAGCTAAGTGGTCTGGAGTTGCTTTGAAGTTCACATTTGCTTCTAAAATTCTGTCAACAAATATTAAATGCCCCAATACGTTTTGAAATAAACTAGTAAGTGCTGCTTGTTGCTTCTTTTTGTTATAAAGCTTTTATTATTCTAGCAATAATAATGTGTGTTAATTTTAGGAATATAGAAAATACAAATAAGCAAAAGGAGAAAAATCATTCATAATCCCACCACCGAGAGGCTATACTTTCTTTCATCCTTCACAAGTTATGTCCATATATGTAATATACAAATGTACTTTTTACCTTTCAAAAATATGATATTCACATATTACTTAGCCTTTTTTCCATTTTATATCCTACCAAGAACCTCTTTTTTACAAATGAGTAAAGTTCTTTTATTAAAAGACAGAGACTTGTAGATTGGTTCAAAATACAATAAACAATGAGATGCAGATAACAAGAGATACATCTAAAACCATTAATAGCAACAGGTTATAAGTAGAAATATGGACAAAGGAATATCAGGAAATGCTAATAAAAAGCAAGCTATATGGTATTGTTAATATCAGATAAAAATCAAGGTAAACTACATTAAATAGGGGTAAGGGTGGTTTCGATTAACCTTCCAACGCATCACTATAAGTTTGTTTCTGACTCTCCTTATCTCGTCTATTTCATCCACTTCTCTAAACATATCTTCATTGCTTAAATGCCTGTTGTGTATATCTTCTTTAAACTCCTGGAGAGATTGAATCAGCCTTTCTCTAAAAGTTCCTTTTGCTTTGGCCTCCTCCTCTAGCTTCTCCTCCTCCTCCTCTGGCTTTTCCTCAGGCTTTGGCTCTTCCTCATGCTTTGGTTCACTCTCATTTTCTGGTTTTCCTTCAATTTTTTGACAGGATTTCATCTTGTATCTCTACCTCTCTTCCTTCCTTCCTTCTTTTATTTTTTTGCTTATTCTTCTTGGAATACAATAACTTCTAGAAAGCAAAAAGAAGACAGTAAGTTAAAGACTTGGTGAGTGGACAGGTGTTGTGGACAGAGGTCTCAGCATTTAATTTTTTTTTATTCAGACTGTTATAAAATATCTTCCACTAAGAAGCCCAGTCAGCAATCAGAGCTTCACTATCCCCACTCCTCTTACCTCCACTTTCCACCTCCTCACTTCTCCTGTCCTTCCCTCTAACCTTTTCCAAGGCCCTTCTTTCCGCCTCCCAGCCCTCCCCAATCCTTTTTCCCCCATAGGGCCTAACACAGGGACCAGGCCAGAAAAGAGAAAGGTGGCTGGCTGGCAGGCAGAGGAAGAGGGGAAAGGAGAAGGGGGAGAGAAAAGAAGAGGGGAAAGGGGTGGGGTGGAAGGGAGCCGGCAGGAACAGTGGAGCTTACAACCTTTGTCTCCACCCCAGGAGACTTTATAATATTCCTCTCACCTACCTGGCACTGATCGGGTCAGTTTCTTCCTCCTCCTTTTCTAGCTTTGGGTCTTGCTAGAAACAACAGACCTGCAGACAAACGGGAAACGGGAGGGGACGGTGGGGGTGGGGCGAGCGCTTGGTGGGCCGACCAGCGCCAGAGACTGACACACGTAGCTTTCCTCCTTTAGGGTTTCGAATATGGAAAGTTTCCCACCTTTTGTTTCCTCCAGTTCACCCCCTATCCACAGTGCATGCAAGTCACTTCGTTTTTCCCATCAAACAAAGAGTGAGAAAGCAGATTATTTCCAAACTATCTTTAAGACTGAGGCGGGTTCGGGAGGAGGGTGGGGGTCCAGAAAGCAGGATTAGATAGCAGAGGACGATTATTTTTAAACTATCACAGGTCTACTTGTTCTTCTCCTAGGACCCCTAGTCCCTTTCCCAAGGGTCATCAGTTCCTGTAGACCTGGAGGTGGAGGGTGGAGAGACGGACCTGACTGGCACTCCCACAAGTCTCTGCCTTAAGCCCCCCCACCCTAGAAATCCCCAGTCAACACCTACATTGACACCAACCTGCAAAATTCCCGCAAGTTTCACTCCTTCCACTAGCCTCAGGGACCACCGCCTGCACTGCTGAAGGAAGCTGGTATCCAGACGGGAACAAGGACCAGACTACCAGGACTTCTGCACACGTCGACTCCTGGTCACATGAGATCTACGTCACCAGTGAGCTCGGGTCCCTAATTTCCACTCCCACCAAAAGCGCGGCAGAAGTGGGCCCACCCTCTGCTCCCTCCCCGCCCCCCACTTACACATTTGGCCCTGTCAGTCTTTTCTGTTGTTTCCTATCCCGGAGGGAAAAATGTTATTTGCTTGACTCTGATTACTAGGGAGGGGCTACCTCTTTTTCTGGAGCTATTGAACTTTTCTACTTCTTTCGAGAATTGTCTCTTCCAGTCTTCCGCTCCCAGGATAACTCCTCCATCAGTCGTCCCTCCCCTAGCCTCCATTTCCTCTGCAATCTGGTTCTTAGCTGTTGTGGAGCAGGGTGGGCTTGGCAGCAGTTGTGAAACAACAACAAAAGACCCTGGAACAAGAGTGAGATGTTTTAATGCAATTTTTACTGTTTATTCTTCATACTTCTATATTCTTTTTTTAAAGGTAACTTTAATCTTTCTCTCTCTTTTTTCTTTCTTCTTTCTTTCTTTCTTTTTTTTTTTTTTTTTTGAGACAGAGTCTCACTCTGTTGCCCAGGCTGGGTTGCAGTGGCGCAATCACAGCTCACCGCAGCCTCAAACTCCTTAACACGAGCGATCCTCTCGCCTCAGACTCCCAAGTATCTGGGACTACAGGTGTGTGCCACTATGCCCAGCTAGTCTTTTAATTTTTTTGTAGAGACAAGGTCTATGTTCCCCAAGCTGGTCTCCAACTCCTGGGGTCAAGTGATCCTCCTGCCTCAACCTCCCAAAGGGCTGGAATTACAGGCCTGAGCCACTGAATTGGGCAACTTTTATCTTTTTATAGTCAGAAAATACAAAGACAAAATTACTTTAATGACATGAGTTAATATATGTACAGTGCTTAGAATAGTGCCTGGCATATAGTAAGTGCTTTTAAAGTGAAAGCTGTTGTTATACTACACATTTGTGAGGAAGATGATTCAAAATTTTTTTTAAAAAGAGTAATGTTTGATTCCAGAGTCCTCATGGTGGTGTTACCAGGAAGCTGTGCTGCCTGAAGAATCATCAGTTAATCAATTGTCAGGTACACATTGTGAGCCTGAGTTTCCTCATCTGACAGAAGGGAATAATAGCATATGCTCATCGAATTGAGATCTATTGAAGATAAAAATGAGTTAATTTTTCATCTATACAATTAGAAAATACAAATATTTATTATATTCAGAGTTGAGGATATGGTAAAACAAATATTCACATGTACTGTGAGAATATTAAGTAATACAACATTTTTGGAAGTCATTTTGGCAATATCAAACTTTGAAAGATATGTGCTTTTGGACACATCAGTTTCTCTTCTAGAAATTTATCATACATTAATACTCCTATGCCAAATATGGTCATTGTAGTAGTTGTGGTAATAGTGTTTTTTTAAAGAGCCAAAAACTTATATGTTTCTAAAAGGAAATCGGTTTAAGAAAAGTTTGATCATTCATATAGAGTTTATAAAGTTTTTTCATTATACATTGATGAAAAAATGATGTGGAGTTACATTTACTCACATGAAAAAAATTTTCAATGTATATTGTTAAACAAAACAGACAAATTGAAAGTTAATTTTATATGTGGTAGTACATTTTTGTAACAGTAGACATATATTTATTTTGTGTATTTAAAATATGAGTATATAATTAAATTCCAAGATAACATGATAAGTGAAGTCCACAAATTCATTCTATAAAATTCCAGGTTATGTAACTGAGAGATAGATGGAACGACTGATGTGAGTCTATTTGGCTAGCTGGCTGCACAGCCCAAATTCGTCAAGGACTCAGCTGTGATTTGTTGCCACAAACAATTCTTTACTGAGCACTTGGACTTAAATATCATCCATCCATTTTACTCTCTCCCCACCTGCTATCACCAATCATGTTATATCCAAACTCAAGTTGTTTCAGGGTCTTACTGTATTTTTATATCATTAGAAATGCAGATGAATATATCCTGAGCGATTATCATAGGATATACTTGAGAATGTGTATTTCATATAAAGAGAACTTTTATTTTCTAAGTGTTGTATTTATATATTTAAATTACTAATAAGTTATAAAAATTAATTCAAGATGTATTAAAGACTTAAATGTTAAAACCATAAAAACCCTAGAAGAAAACCTAGGCAATACCATTCAGGACATAGGCATGGGCAGGGACTTCATGACTAAAACACCAAGCCAAAATAGACAAATGGGACCTAATTAAACTAAAGAGCTTCTGCACAGCAAAAGAAACTACCATCAGAGTGAACAGGCAACCTACAGAATGGAAGAAAATTTTTGCAATCTACCCATCTGACAAAGGGCTAATATCCAGAATCTACAAATAAATTTACAAGAAAAAAACAACCCCATCAAAAAAAGTAGGCAAAGGATATGAACAGACACTTCTCAAAAGAAGACATTTGTGCAGCCAACAGACACATGAAAAAATGCTTATCATCACTGGTCATCAGAGAAATGCAAATCAAAACCACAATGAGATACCATCTCACACCAGTTAGAATGATGATCATTAAAAAGTCAGGAAACAACATGCTGGAGAGGATGTGGAGAAATAGGGATGCTTTTACACTGTTGGTGGGAGTGTAAATTAGTTCAACCATTGTGGAAGACAGTGTGGCAATTCCTCAAGGATCTGGAACTAGAAACACCACTTGACCCAGTGATTCCATTACTGGGCATATACCCAGAGGATTATAAATCATGCTGCTATAAAGACACATGAACACATATGTTTATTGCAGCACTATTCGCAATAGCAAAGACTTGGAACCAACCCAAATGTCCATCAATGATAGACTGGATTAAGAAAACGTGGCACATACACATCATGGAATACTATGCAGCCATAAAAAAGGATGAGTTCATGTCCTTTGTAGGGACATGGATGAAGCTGGAAACCATCATTCTCAGCAAACTATTGCAAGATCAGAAAACCAAACACCTCATGTTCTCACTCATAGGTGGGAATTGAACAATGAGAACACTTGGACACAGGGTGGGGAACATCACACACCAGGGCCTGTCGGGGGTTGGGGGCCTGGGGGAGGGATAGCATTAAGAGATATACCTAATGTAAATGACGAGTTGATGGGTGCAGCAAACCAACATGGCACATGTATACCTACGTTAACAAACCTGCACGTTGTGCACATGTACCCTAGAACTTAAAATATAATAATAAATAAATATATAATAAGTAACATATCAATTACTAATATTCAGAAAAATGATTGAGATAAAATTGAAAAATGAAGAAATAAAATAACTGACAAATATTAGACAGCCATGTATCTATTGAAATGAAAATTTTTATAATGGTATGTAAAGGAAAAGCAGATTACTAACAGTAACAGTATTAGAATTAGGTATGATTGGGTGGTTGGTGGGCTTATGGATTTATATATTCTTTTTTTTACTTCATTGTAGACTCTTCCACATTTTCTCAGGGGGCATGTTTGACTTCTACAGTAAGGAAATGCCTGCAAATAGTATGATCTTATTTTATGGCACATATTTTATATATATACTTCTCTGTAGCTGAACAGGGTCTGAATTAAGTGCCTCCACTACCTGTTTGAGTCTTGAGATCCTTACAATGGTTGAATCCCTCACATTTCCTTCCCTTGCTCCGCTGACCTCTTCTAAGGACTACATGTTTGTAACTAGTATGCATTAGAAATGAGGCTCTCTTCCCGTTCCTCTGACTATCCCTTCCTCCAATCAAGTTTGAGATGGTCAAGGTGTAGTACTAAATTATTAACATGGGGAAGGAGGCATCTCTTTCTTAAATTTGACCTGATGAAAATATTTTCTAGAGAAATATTTTTGCTAGAAAAAGTAATACTTATGGAGATAATATAATAGTTTAAACAGATTATAAAATAGTATTCTTAGTTGCCAATTCAATTCTTTAAAAAATATGTATGAATAGAAACAGAAAGGATTGTTTTTCTGGCTCTGCTTGACATGTGGCATGTATCTATAGTTCCCTTACTTTTTTCCAGTAAAAATGTTTTATTTTTTGCAAATAAAGAAAATAACTATTATTTAAAAGCAGGTTATAAATAATGTATATAAAACTATCCCGGTTATACTTAAAAATACATACAGAAGGAAGGAAACCCTCAATAATGTACAGTCAATTTCATTTATTTGGTGGCTCTCAAATATACATTTCATCCACTTATTGATTTCACAAATATTAATTAGGCAATCACTACATATTGTCAATCTAAACCCTTATGTCCTTTCTGTAGATTTCCTCTCAATTATCACTGAATGTGTTAGTGCAGTGGAGTTGCATCTTAAGCCAAGGATGGATTCTAAAGTCAGCATATAAGGTAGAATCCTACCTAGTCAAACTTACCTACTTCATAGCATATTAATATAAGTTATAATGTTAGTGGGGAAAAAATCAAAATATTTAAACTTAAAATTAAACTCCCATTTAATTTTATGGGAATAGAGACTTCTAAAACCTTTCATGTCTATAATTCTTGTGTATTTTCCAAATTTTCTATAGTTTACTTGAATTACATACATGGAACAATGAAATACATAGTTTTAAGATAACCTAGACTTTTTTCACTCTTCACTGTATATATGGGCATTTAATTTTATGTAAATAATATATATAAAACACACACACACATATATATATACAATTTTAAAATTGAAATATATGTATTCCAGAATAAGGAAGAAGGGAGAGAGGAGGAGAGGCCAGTTTTCACTGCTCTGCTTGTGAATGGGATGGAGGAGATTATATATGTGTGTGTGTGTGTGTGTGTGTGTGTGTAGAGATAAATATATTACATATTATATATAGTATACTATATAGCTATATTAATCATATTATATATTATTATATAGATATAATATATAGAGATAAATAGATACATAGATACAAAATTTGTTTACACCAGGACACTATTTTATACATATTTTCTATCTAACAATGCAATGTAAATATTTCTATGCCAATAAATACTGTACTTCATCATGTTAAAATTAA